TTTCTTCCTTAACACTCTTCTTAGATTGACTGATGAGCAGGTTTTTGGGCTCTTTATAATGTAAAACATAAGTAGGGTTGATAATAATATTTTGGGCGCTCAAGCAAAAAGTCTAAATTTGAATTTCCTAGGACCAAAGGCCTACTATGCACTAAACTTTTTTTGTTCATTAGGACACGACTCTCCAAAATGACTAGAATACTCAGGCCTCGTTTGGAGAGTGGTTATTTTAGCCAAAAAGTCAACTAAAACTAGCCACATCACCTCTCTACTTTTCTGCACATCTTTTCGTAAAAAGCTAAAAAATTACTAAAATAGCTTGTTCCCAAACGAGGCCCATTCTCATTCATACGCATTCTCACAACATACAAACTACTATCTGTTTAATTCATTTAAACAAACCCATTCTCTCTCTCACTTCTTATCTTTCTCTTTCCTCTCTCTCTATAGAAACCAAGCCTATCTCTCTTCCACTTCGCTTCTCTCTCTCTCTCTCTCTCTCTCACACACACACACACACACACACACACACTCTCATTATTTCTCTCCTCCAAAGTAGACGACAATGAGGATCTATGGAGGAAGACAACACCATATTGTCTTATACGCCAGATCTATGGAGGAAAAGGTGATGGTGGAGTTCTACGCGCCGTGGTGTGGTCACTATCAGGCCTTGTTGCCGGAGTATACGTCGGCAGTGATAAAGTTGAAGGGCCAAGCAATGCTTGCGAAGGTGGACACAATGGATCTCTGATTTGTTGAGTTGTCAAGCTTGGTAGATCGATTGGTCTAGGTAACGTAGAAGACATAAATGAGGTCGGTGATGGAAAAGAGCTTATACAGAGAGTCGTCGGAGACGTTGGAGTCATTGGAGTTCTAGGAAAGACAGAGGTAGCAAGCGACGCTATACAGCTTCCATGGGCCGCCTGTTGTTGCCAACTATTAGGCCGATGCTCTAGAAGCTTTTGGGACGTTCATTTTCATCTTCCTTCCTTACAGATTTGGATATATATATAACGGTTTTGAGATTTGAGATTTGATTTAGATTTTTTTTTTTCTTTCTAATAGATAAGAATCCTTTCTCTCTTTCGCCTCATCTCTTTTTATTTATTTATTTATTTATTTTTTGCTGTTATTGATTGTTGTTGTTGGTGTTGTTGATGAAGATAATAATAATGAATGTTGTTGATGAGATTTGTAATAAAAACAGATCTGTAATGGCTCAACAGATATGGAAGAGAGAAAAGAATCCCAACAGATAGTGAATTCATGAACATTCATTTTTAACAGGTAGAAAAAAATAATTTGAACAGATAATCTTTTTGAATAGTGGATATGAAATTAAAAATGAAATTTCAATAGATAGAGAGAGGAAAAAAAGAGGTAAAAATTCAACAGATAGAAAAAAATCAAATATATAAGTGGAAAAAATTGAACAAATAGATATAAACTTGCACAAATAGAAAAACAAAATTGAACAGATAGATATAAATTTGAATAGATAGTAAAAAAAAACTAACAGATAAATTAAGAGATAAAATTGAAAACAAAATATATTATAAAACTAATAAAAGGACTTCTTATCAAACTATTTCACAAAGGTGAATCTCGCAGTAATAAAAAATATCCACTATAACTAATGCCTTAGACACTTTCTAAATTAGATTTATTACCAATTTTCTCTAATATCTTTGGGTAAATTATATTGATTTCTCTTAGGTTTTGAAAATAGTTAAGTCTCACAATTTAGGCATAATTACATTAGAATTTTGTAAGGTTTGACTCACATAACACTTGACACTTTTTTCATCAATAATTTGTTAGTTATATGAATGGAAAAATGATATTTCAATATCTTTTATAATGAAATGTATTTTTTTTTCTTATTTATTTTGGTGTTTAATGTTATTTGCTTTAGTTTCGATCATTTTTTTCTTAATAAAAGAAAGGTTAATATAATTATATTAAAACTTTAAGATTATTTGTATTTTTTCCTAACTTTAGGAGATTAATATAATTTACCTTTATTTTTTGAATAATCCACAAAAACTGATCTGTTTAGTAATTGTTAAAAAAACTTATTTTATTTCATTTTATTTCGGGTTAAATTACTTTTCAAATCGAAAACAGACAAGAATGGGTTGAGGAATGAAAGTACAGTGATTTTGCGATGGTCAACACACAATTGGGGTAGTCTCTTATACAGCCTTACTTTTGTCTATGCATGCAACATCTTAGGGATGCTTGAAAGTGCAGAAAAAAATTGAGTTTTTTATTTATTATAAGAAAATGTGTGAAAAATAGAAAAATAATACGATCTAAATAAATTAAAATATTTAAATTTTTTTACACTTTTCAAAAGAGGCTTAATCTTCGTTTGGGATGTGGATTAATTTTTTAATTTTGTTAATTATTTTATCCTGAGATTAAAAAGTTTCGTTTTTGATAATTTTTTGATTTTTTAAGAAAAAAAATAAAATATTTAAAATTTTGATATAATGTTTTATTTTATTAATTTTTAATTTAATTTTATCTTTTTATAACTATTTCAACTAAAAAAAAATTATTCGAAACATTGCCTTAACCGTCAACGGAAACCTTGAGAATATCACCTAAGATTATGGCATGACCACAGCAAAGATCAAGGCCATAAAGTCCATGAAATACAGATAACTATGCACAAAATGAAATATTGACTGGACTGACTCTTTTTTTCACAAAAATTATAATCCCTCCATTGACTTTTTGCAACTCTATTTTTCTCATTTCTAACAAAAACTCACATACTTCAAAAGTAATGGAGACATTTATTGATAAATTTTTTTTCATTTATTTATATTTTATTTTATTTAAATTATTTTTTAATATTTTAATAAATTCTATAAGTAACGTAATTATCAAAATACTCTTAATAATAATAGAATGAAATACACATTAATATTCACATTAACAAACATGCACTATGGCTGAATCCCATCAAACAAACATGTCTTAACGTTGTGTTTGGTTAAGAGATTTAAGAAGAGATTTAAAAAGAAAAAAAAAAAAGAGAAAATAAAAAGAAAAGATTAAGTGAAATATGAATAAAAGTATATTTAAATTTTACCTAATTTTAATTTTTTTTTTTTCTTCTTCGAAATCTCTTATCAAATTTCTCAACCAAACAGTGTAAAAGTATTGTTGTCACAAACTTTTTCCACCATCTTCACAGCAATGGTTTGGGTGGGAAATTAATGGAACTTAAAAGCACTAGTGTTTATTGCATTTGCTTGGATACAGCTTGGGTGGTTCCACACTTGTCAGTCATGGCCTCATATGTCATCGGGTTGAATTGACTGGTGTCCAAACCACAAAACAATAATGGAAGTAAATGAAACATACAAAGCAGCTATATATACTGAGAAAAGATAGGGATCATGATCATGAAAAATTTATGAGTTTTGGATTACCTTGATTAGTGTGTGGTGTTTTATTTTAAGTGTAATTCAAAGATCATAAATCTTTAATGATTATTTTCATAAATTTTTTTTCATAATACGTAGTATTGCTCATATATAATGTGTCTACATTTATGGGTGAGAGATAATCAAACCGACTTGGTCTACTCGATTGTTCATAAAAAAATCTATTACAGTAAATTAGAGTGTATAGTAAAAATACAAGTGTCTACATTTATGGAGAAGAGATAATCAAAGGAACTTAGTGGCGGCTTGGGAAGTGAGTTTTTATATAAGTTTTTTTTAGTTGTAAGATATTATTGGATAAAAAATTTTTAGTGTTTGGAAAGATAGTTGGGTTTTTTTGTGGTTAGATATGATGTTTGTGAAAGAAAAAGTGAAATAATTATGGGATTGGATGTGATATTTTGTTTAGATTTGTTTTTTTTTTTTTGTTTTGCAAAACCTTTGTCTTTTAATGAAAAAAATGAAAAAAAAATCTGGGAACCAAGTTCCCAAACACCATGTAGTCTACTCTATTCTTCCTAAAAAAATTCATTACAGTAAATTAGAGTATAGGAAAAAAACAAGTTACTGCACCATAATATGAATTGAAACCATTAGAAAAATTAAATTAAAAGAGCGGAAGGGCAAAACATAATTCATGTAGCCAATGCAAGTAGTTGGAAGAAGGCTCAACTGAGGAAGTTGAGAGAATTATTTTTCATTCTTAGTCAGCTATGGTGTGCATGACTCAAAAAATCCAATCCTAACATGAACAATTCACATCTTGAACCCATTAAGGAAGATCCTTTTCTTGAACCCATAATATGTATTGTTTTAATCCAAGGTTTCCATTTTGTTGCTTAGTCTACATATTACAGATTGGAAGAAAATAAACCAAAAGACAAAGTCCTCCAAAAGGCACTATATTTATATTCTCCCAGAAACTTTTCTGTTCTCATAATTTTCATTTATTTATTTTTTTTATGTTCAAAAATTAAAACATTAACCAAAATTGAAAAGGAAATAATAAAAGAAAGCATAAAAACAGAGAGAGTAAAACAACTCAAACCATCAAATGCAAAATGAGTAGAAATTCCTCCCCTTCCCTGTCCCCAAATCGGGCAATAAATCACTCTATTGGCTATGAAGAAACATTTGAAAAACACAGAAAACTTGTTTGACGAACTAGTTTTGAAAAGAACCATTTTTTTTTTAACATAAAATTGAAAGTGATGAGTGTTTTCTAATTTTTCATTATTTTTTATCTGAGAAATGGAAATGACGAAAAACAAAAATACAATCAAACAATTTGCTTCATTTTCAACTTTAGCATATTCTCACCTCTAGAAGTATATGTTGTCATTTTCCTACCTTTTTTTTTTTTAATTTTTTATACTTTGCAACATTGAAAGAAACATATATATATATATATATATAATGAAGTCAATAACAGCTAATAAAATGTACAACCATATCAATGACTTTGGGCTGTATGTTCTTCATTACAAGTTAGTTTTGATCAATTGAAGATTAACAATGCAAATGAATCCTTCAAAGTTTTCTCAACAACCAAAAATGAATCTTATCTTCTTTTATTTAGATTGCCAAAAAAGGGATTAAAAAAAATTTATGTAAATCAAAGCAAAATGAACCAAGGCCACCAAGAATCTGATAAAAAAGATTGAATGATTCCCAGTACTATCGGCCTGATAAAACTGACATTGAAAATGATCCAGAAGCTGAGCTAGGAATACAGTCACTATCTACCTGAGGTCGCGCCAATGCTGCAATTCTTCGCCTGTCATAACCGGGATTTGGCTCTTCTTCTTCTTCTTGTTCATCGATTGATAAAAGATCAACGATGATCATTTGAGTCTCCGGTGGCTCTTCCACGTGCACTCGCCCTTCAAGCATTTCAACTACTTTAGTCATACTTGGCCTAAGCCTAGCCTTCTCTTGTATGCACCACAAAGCCACACAAACCAACCTCCTCACTTCCCTCTCCTCAACCCCTCCTCCTTCTATTATCCTATTGTCAACCACTTCCATTAGATTTCCTTGTCTCAATCTCTCACTCACAATCTTGGGAAAATACTGAAATTTCCTCTTAGACTTATCGTTGCGATTGTCAATAACGCATACATTTCTCCTGCCACCTATGATCTCCAAAAGCACCATTCCAAAGCTATAAATGTCACATTTTTCTGAAATACCATGTTCTAAAAGCCACTCTGGAGCCAAGTAACCTTTAGTCCCACGAATGGTTGTTACCACTCTACTCTCATCCTTTCCCATTAGCCTAGAGAGCCCAAAATCCGATACAAGAGCTCGATGATTCTCATCAAGAAGAATGTTTTCGGGCTTCACATCAAGGTGTAAGATCCGCGAGCGACAATCATGGTGTAGGTAAGAAAGTGCCTTAGCCACATCGATGGCGACCCTACACCTCAAGTCCCAAGACAAGCATCCACCTCCACCTCCACGGTTACTGCGATTTTCACTTTGAGGGAAGATCCATTTGTCCAAAGACCCTTTTCGGATGAACTCGTAAACCAGAAACCTTGGACCTGTGGGCACACAACAGTACCCAATAAGGCGAACTAAGTTGACGTGCTGAACACTAGCAATGGCTGCAACTTCTGATCTGAATTCCCTATCACCTCTCTCCTCTCCCTCGATCCTTTTTACAGCTACCGATGTCCCATCATTTAAAATTCCCTTGAAAACTGAAGCCGATGATCCTCTTCCAACCAAGGATTGGAACCCATCTGTCGCTTCCTCCAGCTCCCGGTACCTGAATTTTGTGGGAACTCCTGCTACTTTCCTTAGAAAACTGTACTCAATTCGAAGCTCTTGGCCTTCTGAGACCAATCGAGTCTCTACCAATCTTCTTCGCCGATTGAAATGCCTTCTGGCAAAAGCAAATGCTATGACAGCAACGATTGCGGCTCCATCAGCTCCTGCGATGAGAAAGAAAGACTTGGAAAGTCCAAGCGAAACGCGTGCGACGATGGTGGCAGTGATCAAGGCCATGATGAGAAAAACAGCAATTATGTTTGATTTCTTGTCCTCCATCAAATTTTCATTGATGATGTTTCTAAGTATAAAAGGAAAAGATTTGATTTCATTCTTGTGATCACTTTGGCTTATTCTAGTTGTGAACGAAAATCAATTCTTTTTTCTTTTGTACTTTTCTAGGTAATGGAGGCGTCATTCATGTATAATATTTTATTTTTTTTGAAGGAAGACTATAGGTAAAATTGACATTGTCCAAATTTTGGGTTGTGGGCAATATTTTATCTAGAGATGGTTGAAACAAGTTTCACCTAATCTGTCACTACATTTATTACTGTTTTTTTTTTGGGTAAGTCATTTATTACTGTTTGGCTAAGCTTGTCTTTTCTTTTGTCCATTTATTTGTTTTTTGACTTTTTACTAGCTTTTATTTTGAGATTTCAAAAAAACAAAAATTCCAAAAATTCCAAAAATTCACACTAGAAGCCCAAATATATATATATATTTTTAAAAAATATTAATTGAAAAAACACTCATAAAAAGTTTTTTTTTTAAACGAAGATAAAGATATTCGTATTCAACATAACGATATAATAATTAATAAAGATTTTGTAAAAGTTAAACTCACCACACATCTCAAAAAGACTAGTCTAACTTTCACGGAGATGGATAACTGTACTTTATATACTCCTAGACAAATCAAAGGGCTCACATTGATTTGAGATGAATGCAAAAACACTAAATCCAACTAAAAAGCCAATATAAAAGTCGATCCAAATAAGGTCTTTTAGTTTTTGGTTTTCATTTATATATTTGGTCAATGGTTTTCAAACTTTTGCAGATAAAAAGGGAAAAGAAAAAAAAAAAATCCAAATTAAAAGAAACTTATCAAAACTGATCAATTGTTTCCTACAAATTCACAAGTAAACATGGTTTGATTCCTTAAGCTTTTTCAAGGCTCACCGCTTTGGTTTTACTTGTAAAACAAAGAAAATTATGGAAACTTAGACCTATGGTTGATGCTAATTAAAGAGATCTTATCAAATTTATTAGAGTTTTTTGTTCTATTTCATGCAAATCCTCGTCACATATTATTTTCAAAGTACATATTCTTGCTTTCTCTTTGCTTATTTTTTTTTTTTTAATTTTTTCCCCTTTTTTCTTTAAAAAAATTAAAATTTTACTATGGAAAGTTGACAAGACATTAGAATCTGTCATGAAAAAATCAAAAATTAAGAAAACACAAAACACAAACAAACACACCCATAAAATTTAGTAGTTTAGTTACTCATGTGCAAATAACCATATATAAAATAGTTGTACCATAAATATGGAGAATACAATGAGCTCGCTCTCTCTACATAATCCTCTAGCTCAAATATTCTTAATACCATAAGATTTTAAAATTCTAAAATAACTCAATATATACAAGAATTTAAAAAAACTAATAATAAATATAATTTAAGTTAGAATTTGAGACACACCCATAAATTGTAAGTTGTCTAACTTGATACAAGTATTAGAAAATATATCCAAACCAAGTCAATTACCATGTATAATGACTTGACACCCATCATTGATTTGACTCATTCAATTTCTATTTTCCTTTATTTAAGTGGCAAATGACTGATGCTTTTTTAAAATTTGCGATAGGATTCAATCCCTATTTTTTCTTTATTTTAATGACTGATGATTTGGAAGGGATTCACTTCAGTCTGCCAAGTGAACAGTAGGGTTAGTTCAGATTGGGCATGTGGGACTCATGATAGCTCTTCTTTCAATTGCTTATATAAAAAATAAATAAAAATCAAATTAATCTGATATTTTTAATCATATAATTCATTGTATTTATCTTTTAAAATCATATTTATTCAATTTTTTAAAGATAAATTACACTCACCTCCTATGAGATTTGAGAATAGTATAATCAATTTTATATTTTTGATATAGTTACACTAATTTCCCATGTAGTAAGACTAAATTGCCTAAAACTAATATAGATGGTGAGCTGACAGTGAGATAAATAAATATAAATACATATTTTAACAGATTAGCGATAATAACATTATTTTTTTTCATTTATACGACTAATGAATTACTAATGAAAAACAACCTAACTATTATGTGAATTAAATGCACAAGAGATATTAGTGTAATTAAGTCAAAAGTATAAAATTAGTTGTATTTTTTAAAAATCTCAAAAGAGATGCTTGTAATTTACCCATTTTTTTAATGATAAATATGAAAGAATCATATGATTACAAATATGGAATCAAAGCAAAGCGTCTATAGTCAAAGGGACTATAACTAATTTAGATAGTGTGAAAAGAAAAAGATTAATAAGAAAAAAATATATATTTAATTGTTAAAAAGATAAAAATATCAGCCCTCTCAATAAAAATAGGGCTAGTGGTTAGGGTATTGTTGGTATAGTTGGTATTAAGGTAAGAGTTCAAAGAGAAAATGGTGGGGGCTCATTTTACTGGGTGGGAGTTCAAAAAATTGGGGGGAGGAGGGGACAGTAAAGCGGTAGGTGCTAATAGTAGTCCTCCTATTAAATTATTGATAAAAAAAGGGATTAAGTGTTACGTGAATTCAAATCTTAAAGGAATTTAATGTAATTATGGCAAAACTGTAGAGTTTGATGCATTTTTTTTCAAACTTCAGGGGAGGTTAGCATAATTTGTTCTAATTTTTTTATATTTGTTTTTATGAAAAATAGATAGTTTATTTTCAAAATTAAACTTGTGATCTAATTTTTTTAAAACAAATATATATATAAAAATTGTTCAAAAATCCGTATATGATATTAGATCCAATAATTATATATTAAATAAATTACAAATATGCCCTTGAAGTTTGCTTAAAATATAATTTATCCCCGTGGTTTTAGAAATTATATCATATATCTTGAATTTTCTAGTTTCATAATAAATAATCCCTTTTATTAATAAATCATCAAGTCAATTAATAGTTTTTAATGATGTGAAAAATTTATTTCAATTAATATTTTAGGTAATTTTATCATTGTATAGGAGATTAGTTAATAATATATTTATTTTAGTTAATTCTGTTAAATAATTTTTTTTAACCATGGGATATTTGTAATTTTTCAACTCATAAGGAGCAATTTGTATTTTAAGCAAATCTCAATGGTGTATATGTAATTTATTCTTATTTATTTCCACACATTATTTACTCTCTGTGCACACATTTAATGAATTAAATTTTTATTACAATTTTGTCATTAAACAAAATGACCACTATAGACATCAATACACAACAAATCTTAAAACTAAAAATTTTCTCTTAACACATCTTTGGGAACAAAAATTTTCAATGCACATCTTTTGAGGGGAAAAAAAAATTTACGCTAAGGCCTACATTGTTCTTCTATTGTTTTTCATTCTCGCCATAGTTGCACTCTATTTTACCCGTCATTCTTGATTTGTGCGATGAAAGATTTACAAAATCATAGAAGTTCAGATTTAGAGAACAATATGATTTTACAACCAATACAACGATGAAAAAGTGATTTTTTATGAGTGGAAGTGGTTTTTTTTTTTGTGAGCAAAAGAACTGGTATTATTTTGTAAATTCAACTTCCAAGGATTGCGGGAAAAAACATCAATGATGAAAACTTTTCATATGATTGGTTTAAAATTTTTTTTGATCGCGATGAAGACTTACCATCATTGTTGATCGCAAACCAAAAAGGAAAAAGTTTTCATCAACTTGCATCACTCTTTTCATCCTTTCATCGTTGATTGGCTCTAAAGAACTATGGAAAATGTGTTGGTGGATTGTTGGATATGTCGGAGTTACTGTTGCGATGTGTGTAAATGTGTTTTGTGTGGTGTGTGTTTAAATTATAAGTTAGGGATATATTTAGAGCATTTGATTTGTGGAATGAGAAAAACATAATGCAACTAAATTAATAAGTGTGTGAACTAAGAAATGATGTGCACAAAGTGTAAATGGTGTCTGGAAATAGAATTACCAAGAATGTGATTAATAAAATTATTTAGTAAAAATAATAAATTATTGTTTGGAAAGAAATTTTATTATTCATTTTTACCCACTGTTACCAATTTTTGGAAAAATCATTGAAGCTAGCTGGTGTTGGTAATAATATAGACAGATAGTAAAGACAAGTTTGGAAAGTTTAATAAAATAGTTAAAAAGTGATTAAGAGGTTAAAAAGTCAAAGAGTACAAAAATTAAAGATTTTCTTTTTTTTCTATTTGTTGCATTTTTTTTATTTTTTTATTTTTGTAAAAAGTTAAAAAATCATTCAAAATATACTAATTTTTTTCATCTTATATTTTACTTAAAAAATTAAAAAATTACTAAAATAACCTATTATCAAATCAATCCTAAGCATACATATAAGTCACACATAAATAAATAAATGGATGGATAAGAAAGAGTCCTATCATGAATTTAAATCTCTGTCAAATAACATTGACAAATTTTCTAGAATTCACTATCTAAAACTTCTATTTACAATTGTTATGGTAGGTCAGATCTTAATTAAAATTTTTTGAATCAATAAGTTTTATTTAGTAAAACAATTTCAATTTTTAAAATTAAGAACATTATCAATTTTGTATAGTAATGTTTCAGATGATTGTTTCACTAACTAATAAAAAAAACAAAGTATAAGATTAAATATTTTTGTCCTTTTGCTTATTGGTTTGATTCAGTTATCCAATAAAATCAAGAATATTATCAGTTTTTTCTAGTTTTAAAACTGAGAACATTATCAGTTTTTTCATTTTAATTTTTTTTTCTTCTAGTTTTGCATATCAATATTCCATCATCATGCTCCTTTATAGATACAAAATTTTTAGTTTTGAACAAAAAAATAATTCAATTTTTTCAGCTTGCTTGGTTATCATTTTTCAAAAACACTTTTCAGAAAATTTTACTTTCTTATTTTCCGTGTTTTTTTGTTTTTATTGATTTTTTTTAATATTTTAAACAATTTTTTTTTAATTTTTAGACATACCTAACATAAATATACCTAAAAAGTAAAAAAAAAAATTGAAAAAAACTTTTTAAAAATTCACTAAATACCAAAACTAGAAAAAAAAATACGATAATTCAGTACATTTTTTGTATTTTTATGTATTTATTAATTTTTTAAAATATTTTTTTACAAATTTTTTAGTTTTTGGATACATCTAAGTAAGGTGCATCTAAAAAAGTAAAAAAATGTTTAAAATTTTAAAAATA